ATATTGTAGTTTACGTGAAATAAGGGGAGGTTTAAGTCATTATTTTGCTCGTTTCGAAACCGTTTAAGAAATAGAAGCCTTCAAATATTGCGATTTTTGCCCAATTTCGTAAAAATAGGTTTTACATTGGAATTTTTTCTTTGGTATTGGTGAAATCTGCAAAATATTGCATAAATCAGATCTGCTCCAAATAAAAATATATTCAGGAAGAACAATCCCTCTCGATTACAATGATAAAAAGAACAGGTCGATAGGATGAATAGTACCAGAGAAAAAGATTCAAATGTACAACGCATTTTCACGAAAATGGGCAAAAATCGCAATATTTGAAGGCTTGTATTTCTCAAACGGTTTCGAAACGAACAAAATGATAACTTAAACCCCCCTAATTTCACGTAAACTACAATATATCTCATTTAGAACAAAATCCGAGACATTTGACAAAACAAGTGATTGATTTGACGTGGAATGGCCGATATATATTTTATAATTTACTGAGAGTTACTGAGATCTTATAATTGGGGTATCTTATAATTGGGATATATGCGGCGCAGCCCCCCAGCATGCGTATAGGCGAGACATATGTTTTTCAATTTTTGTAAAAGGATTTTGCGCGAAAAGTATATGCCTCGAAATTACGGAAACTCACAGACGCGTAAGTGTATTCCGAGCCTAAACAATCGACGACTGAACGCTTACACACACACACACTGCCACAGACACGTAGCTATACGCAATATTCATTGAACTAGTAGCAATGATATTTTGCAAATATCTCGGAAACTAAGGCCGAGCGACGATTATATGTATAGGAAAAAGTTATTCACAATGTTGATTTCTGCAACATATTTAAAAATCATCAAAATCGTAGAGGATGTAGCTGTTCTCTATAATTACCCTTAACCGGGATCGGATATCTCGATGAGACAATGCCAATGCAACGACCAAACTTTTTTTTATTTATACTATTTTTGTCGTAAAACTGTTACCATCATATTCCTGATATTTTTCTGATTAAAATGAGACCAAACACGACGTAATTCGCAACATATTGTCTCACCGAAATAATCCCGGTGTTGGTCGCAATTTTCGCATGTCGCTCTGTCCTCTTCTTCATTCGCTGTCCTTTTCTACACTCGAAGTTTGTTGTCAAAACATTAGAAGATATAGTAACGACTGAAGGAGGCATGCAAAATCGGAGACCCAAAACATTGCACTCGAGGTTTTTATGTGTTTACACTTGACTCGAGTCGAGCGTCGAACGTAGAAAAGGATAAATAGTGAAAGAGAAAGAGGTCCGAGAAAAAAAAAACACTCGACAGAAGCGTATCAATCGGTTCGGATCATATTACACCGGTGTTCGGGGCTGCTCGGGCGAAACTACGGGCAAAAGAAATATGATTGGGCTGGCAGCGGGGGGTGGGTATTTGAGAAACATACAGAGTGTCCCAGCCAAAGTGATACGGAGCTCTAACTCCAAAACTATCGGCCGAATGCCACATTTCAAATATGGAAATTGCATGGTAAAGTGGGCTTCATGTTTCAGCGAGAAGGAATTTTTGTTAACTTTGTTATTTAACGAGATATGATGGTCTACTTTCGTTTTTCAAATGGAACTATATATCTTTTTTTATACCATGCGATAGTACTTTTCAAGACGAATTCATTAAGCTTTAATGTGTTTACCCGATTTTTAATAGTTTTCAAGCTATAACGCTTCAAAGTTTGCTAATTTTCAAGGAAAAATCTCGGTTCGGCCCCGGGCGCGGGCGGTCCCATTGATGCAGTAAGGACCATGCGGTTCTTGAAATCGATACGAAGGGTCTCGTTTGGGATTCTAGGCCCAATGAAGGAAAATGGGAAGAACCCCAATATTCTGAGCTTAGAATCCCAAGCGAGACCCTCCGTATTGATTTCAAAAACTGCATGGTGGTTACTGGATCAATGGAACTGCCCGAAATGTGTGTGAACTTGGCCCCGCACGTTTCGAATTTTGAATTTTTCTTTCTTTTGCCGTATTATGCTATATTTTTGCTGAATTGTTCCGTAAATAAGAGATCGATAACATCAATAACAATTAAGAAAAGAAATAAGCGAAATAAGCCGAAGCTGTCGGCAAAGATCAAATAATGTGGGAACTCCATGATAAATGCACACTTTCAATCACGAGCTTGTGCATTTATCGAGGCATTACTGCACTCCGCTACTCGCGAGCGCGTGCGAATGCAAATGCAAATTCTTAACGTCTGATTCCTAACTTTGCCAACGCTGCGAAATCTGGCGATCTGACGAGATTTTGTAATCAGGACAAGTTGTTGTGCTAATCTAGCACAATCCAGCACAATCAAAGAAAATTCGAAAATATCCAAATTTTTAATCACCGCCATCTTTTTCTTGTTAATTTTTATTAACCCTCGAACTGATCTCAATTTTTAACGGACGTGTCTCGTGTATTGTAAGTAGCACAATTTAGTACAACTTGCAGAATTCGATTATCTATCGCCGTTCGCAAATTGTACGAATATTAAACTTTTTATTCCTTAAAATTCAACATTTTTTATCTGCAAAGTGAATAGAGATATCGAATTTCTATCAATGGCATAATGTAGCACAAATTAGTACGAATCTTTTTATCGAAAAAAGTTTTTTTCGGCAAAAGTACGGCGTTAGTATAGTTTTGGTTTTATTTCTTTTCTTAATTGTTATTGATGTTATCAATCTCTTATTTACGGTACGATTCAGAACAAATATAGCACAAGAACACGGCACAAGAAAGAAAAACTCAACATTCGAAAAGTGCGGGGCTAACTTCACACACATCCGCCTGGGACCGAACCGAGATTTTTCCTTGAAAATTAGCAAACTTTGAAGCGTTATAGCTTGAAAACTATTACAAATCGGGTAAACACATCAAAGCTTAATGAATTCGTCTTGAAAAGTACTATCGCATGGTATAAACAAAAATATATAGTTCCATTTGAGAAACGAAAGTACACCATCATATCACGTTAAATAACAAAGTTAACAAAAATTCCTTCTCGCCGAAACATGAGCCCCACTTTACCATGCAATTTCCATATTTGAAATTTTGCATTCGGCCGATAGTTTCGGAGTTAGGGCTCTGTGTCATTTAGGCTGGGACACGCTGTACACACCCTTCGCAGTCAAAAAATTAAAAATGAGTACAAGACGAATGGTATAAAAAAGAGAATATTTTGAAATGAAGAAACTGTACTCCTTTGAATATACACATTATAGAACATTTGTTTTGTCGAAAATTTGACTGAAATTAAGTGAATATACAGTTTATAACTTCCATCTTTATGCAATTTTCGGGGCATATGTATAGAAGTCGCTTTCAACTCGTTTTTTTACTACTTTTACAGTTGACTTACACAGATAGATACAACAAGAGCTACAGAACTTAACAAACGTTGTAAGAACTCCAGCGTCACAAGCGTCAAAAATAAACGTCGCATGGTGCGCAAATTGAATTCACGAAAACCAACTCCTGCATACCTAGTTTACGCACCACACTGCTTTGTTTCTGAAGTAGCAGCAGCGTCATATTCTTATGACATCAAGACAAGTTTTGTGCCTGTTATTGTACAGTCAAATATCGTCCTCACACGTAGTATAGCATAAACGAAGATATAGGATAAACCAAGTTGTCTTTAATAACTTCCAACCTAAAGTCACTATTTGGAGCTATCATTTCTTTATCTGAAAATGTACCATTATCGTGAAAATGACGTTCGTTGTAACTAAAAATGTTTCCAATAGCAACGTTCATAATAGGAAATGAAATAAATCGCACGATAAGCTCAACTTTTCTTTCCGCCACATTAAATTAGCATTGCTTTAATCAAACGAATAAAGATTGATAATGCTCTGTAAAGGTACGACTTCCTCGACATTTCGCAAAGCCAGTTATCAAGAAACGTACATTTTGTGGAAAAAATTGTTCCACGAGGGAAATGAGAACGTTAATGTCGGATATATTCGTACGTCATGAAAATACATTGTAATTCTCTGTCTTTAGTGCAAAAGCGCTTCTACGAGAACGGTATATCATAAAATTATCACGAAGAATGCCTGCACTATAGAATTTCTCGTAAAAATAAAAGAATAGAGTGAAATTCATATACGAATCATTATGTTCAAATAAAAAGAAATCTATTCGAACGTAAAGTAAAGCGTGCAATGCAATTCATTCCTTCAAACTAATTTTATGCGTCTACTAGGATTAATTATCAAATATTCTTCTCTCACGAGGAATGTAAATCTTGTACTACTATGACGTCGAGAAGGTTTTAGTCTATGAATAACTTGCTTGTTTTCTTCCTTACGCTTTTTAAAATTTTAATTGCGAATTAGCTTCGATTTTCCAATGCAGAGTGAAAAAGAATCAATAGTAACTGTAAAAATTGTATTCTTTGACTTGTTTGAATTCGATCTTGCCCAAGTTATGGAATAATTTTTCATTTCAGTATGTGACTGACTCCTAAAAATTAATTAGTTCTTTTATACAAGGTGATCCTGAACTATTTGATCGAACTTTAGACGTAACAACAAATATTTGATGTAGACTCTTCGAACAAAGAGATACGCAGCATTGTCTCGATGATTAATAAACAGTACTATCGTTCTTATCGTTATACGATACTTATGGTTTACATTGTGATGTTTACAGGTTCAACATGATCATTCGAAAGAGCAAATCGTTGCGTTAATGATAAAACGTGAAACACAGTGTACTTGATTGTGAGTTAGAACGTGTAATTTTTGTAAGAAAAAAAAACATTCAAGTTTCAGAAGTTATTAGTCATTGATATTAAGCAAATTTCTTGGAGTACGAAGCATCGATTTGTCTGAAATATTTTAATTAATAGGTGGCATTAGTAGAACATCCTGACAAAATTATGTGAAACAGTTCAGGAACGCCTTGCATATTACGAACAGATTAGGATGAGGATAATTTAATATTTTTGGTTACTTACGATATTTGACGTGCAGTTTAGGAACGGGATCTTGCGGCCAAGCCACGTTCTGCGCGGCTAAGCTGATTAGCGCCAAAATTCGCAACGATGTGCTCATTTTGGTAGCGAGTGGCCCTGCAGGGTATCTTATGAATCAGCGGTAGCTGTCAATCCTCGACATCGCCGCTCCGATCGTCATTCCTGAAACGACAAGAAAATTCCTACCGTTAATAACAAACGATTACCAACAAATTAAGCAATTATTAACATGTTTCCTATATCATTAGACACTTTATCTTCCAATCTGTCGATAAACAATCGATGGACAATTAAACTATATATGATTTTACATAGTTCTTACAAATTGTTTAATCTTATAGTTTTAGTATAATTTTCTTATAATTTTTTTAAAACGAAATTTGCAATATTTTGTCTGTTTAAATTTGTACTCTAGAAAGGATCGAATATATAGGCTAAACCAACAGAATTTGATGATTCCAATTTTCAACGAATTTGTAAGTCAATTTGATTTAATTGCAAAATTTAATATTTGAAATGATAATTCGAGGATGACAGCGTTGATTAACTGTTTGAACGGTTTTGCAATTTCTGTTTTTATTAGATGATTCGCAGAGATTAAATTTTATTAAATTACGAAACGCTTTACTGCAGATTACGCTGTACTGCAAATAATATAATTAACAGATAACAAATAAAACCAGAGTACAGCAGTATATTCGTAACAATTGCTCTTTTTAACAGTTATATTTTTATTTATTCATCGTGAAATACTGTGTTCTACAGTTCACATTCCAGTTTTCCCTTAATGAAAATTACATAGACAATTGTTATCACCTATGCGATAAGAAATTTAGTAGTTTTATCTGTGGTAAATGTAAAAGGTGTTTATTTGTTATTTCATAAACAAATTTTATTTAATTGGAATGTGGAGAACCACATTCCAGTATTCGATACATTTAATGTAACGCTGCAATTTCTGAATTTGAAGTACTTTTCAGGCAAATAATTCGCTTTAATACCAACAAAATTAAATTCTTTTATTTTGAGAACAAATTATTTTCTTTAAAATGTCTTGGAATTCAGAAATGAAAACGTCGCGCGTCGCGTTAAATGCAACAAATTTAAAGTATTTAGTTCTGGTTCAGAAACAATTCTTTGTTCTCTCAATTTGTACTCAAGATTTTACCTGGAAAGCAAAAGTGGAACAAGAAAAGTCATGTACAGCATTTTGTACAAATTATTAATGTACAAATATGTTGTAAATAATGAACACACGTGAAGAGACTTATTAAATAGATATATTAATACAAAAGGATGAGATATACATAAGTACGTGGTTAACGCTTGATTGCGTATGTGCGACTGACTAATGTCGCGTAATTCGACCTCGTGGCCCGCGTTGGTAGCGTACACAGCGACCCAATCGTATGTTACTCGTAACCAATAGGTAATTTACCGACTATTAAAATAGCGGAACCGGGAAAAACAAAAATATCAAGGCATTTCAAGAGGATATCAAGAAACTTAAGTCTCGAGAGAGTCAGAAGAAAAATACTGGTAAGTACCTGACCACCTTCGAGAAGTATACGAACGGAGCGCGATATTTCTTAGGTCAAAAGGAAATACAGAAACAGAGTTCTTTGCCAGAATTCAAAGAACTTTTCACCATGATGAGTTGGAGGAATCTAAATTGTTACACCGCAAAGTAGTGGAGATCGTTTACCTATTAACCCCTTGCAATCCCAGAAGCTTGATTCAAAAGTAAAACAAATAAAACCAAGATACAGGAATTTATTTAAATTGCGATAACTCAGCAAAAAAGTCGTAGTCTCGTTCAAAAAGAACAAGAATTAACGTAAAGATTCTGAATACCCACTCCTTTCCTCCACGTCGATAAAAATTGTGACACAAACTATTTGAAATGGAGAATTCAATAAAATTAAACGCATTGACAAGTGATCGATAAGTGATATCATTACTTCAGTTTTTAACCCTTTGCACTCGGGAGGTGACTCTCGGTCACCCCTAGGTTCGACCCAGCAAATCAACCAGCAATAATGTTTGTTTAGGTTTAATTTCTTTGGAACTCGAAGTGTCGATAAAATGATTGTCTGTGAGGCAAAGGTAATCTGATTCTAAAATCTCAAATTAGAGATTTCATTTTCGAAGTCAATTTAACCTTAGTATTCGTGGCAATAGAATGCTAAGGAAGTATCTCGAGATGCTGGTAGATACCAGGAAAAAACGCCTCGAGTGCAAAGGGTTAATATGCTATTCTAACATCGGTGTAAGCTTATATTTCACAAGAATACAAAATTATGGACTCCTTTATTTTCCAAGCGATTAATGCTTCTTTCGTTTGCGTACCTACGCGGTATAGCCGACAAGGAAAGCAAAGTGATCTAGTTACATAAAACTAAATCGAAAATACAGTGGGTGTAGAATGTATTCGTACACCGATCAATTTCCCAAAAAACTTTTGTGTGAAATTGTAGTTTATTGAAGATGTTGATAGAAATTGAAATTGTATTCTCGGAAGTCTCTAAGATAGATACAGTCCAAACTACATTTACTAGTTAATATAATTTGTGAAATTAATAAAAAAATGCGAAAAATGGGTAAAAGTATAGAAGCAATAAGTATTTGTACGATTCTTATGACGAACCATTTACAGTAGAGTTTGTAATGTAAACACATTAGTTTATTGCTCCGTACGAATTAGAAAACATCAAATTGCCAGTAAAGTACTTTTAAACAGTTGTGCGGATACTTATTGCTTCAACATTTCTATCGATTAATTGCTTTTTTTCTTGTTAAGTGGAGTAATAACTATTAACGCCTCAGATATCTTCGAAACTATACAGTCCCTGGCCACCAAGTTATGAGGAAGGTGTATGCGCGCGCGTTAGCGTAACGTTATCCTCCCCCTTTTTACGATGAATTTCTCTGCCAAACAGTACGAGCACTTAATTCGGGACTTTGGCACTAAATTAGCACCTAATTGACACCTTATTTTGCAATAAGTTTAAATTTGTTTATCGTTAATGGAGGGGCTAACTTAACGGGGGTTAATCTAGCGATAATCCAGCCGACTAACGCTCAAGAATCGTTCATTGCCTGCAAAGGGATTCAACACCACATCTGACCCGCGACAATCTAATGACGAGAAGGATCTGGTTTTAGCTAGCCCAAGAAAAAGTTTCTCGCGTGATCGCATTAAAAATGCAGACATTTCTTAAATCTCTCCAGTTCTTAACAATCGAGTATGGCAGAGGCGCGAGTAGAAGCTAAAGTGTCTTTGTTCCATTTCGCGGGCAACTTCTACACGCGAGATTTCTTGCAGAGGTGTACCACCACCTGGCAGGCCAGAGATAGGCTAGCGAGGGAGAAACAAGAGAGAAGGAAGCGGGTACCAAGCAGGATAAAAGGCTAACGAGGAGAACGTAGGACATCGTCGTAGTCAAACCAGTGCGGCGAAGACGATGAACAAGACGACGATGGTATGCATTATGCAGAGAGGTCGCCAGCTGGAGCTTCTATTTGTCCGCCTGCCACGCAGCCGACTACCGACTATGACTTCGAATACGCTCGCGATTAGGTGAAAAATCGTATGCACGCGCACACTTCAGCCCTAACATATTGGCGATGGATCACGTACGTACGCGTTATTCAGAAATTCATATATGTACCTGTCTCAAAACAAATTTATAAAATAGTATGAACGATTCAATTTCACTACGCAAATGGTATAATTACAAATTCTATTCTTCAAGTTAATACAAATTTTTGTTTCTCAAAAAGGGAATTTTTCAGGGAAAAATTCAAAGGCATATAATATATATACATACATATATTTATTATATTACATAGGTGCTATTTTGTTCCACAACCTCTCCACCTTTTAAGAGATGTATACATGTTATTTGTTTTCAACCATTTCGATATATTCAGACCTGTACCACCTACCAAAAATCGACATGGACTTTCCGGACAACTCAAATATATAAATTTTTTATATTTATATAAATTATGAAAATTAATGAATATTTTATCTTTTTTTATAAATATTTTATCCATTGATAACATATTTTCTTTTTGAATTCAAAGAAAGAAATGTACTAAGTTCATGCATCCTAGATATCTGTTTACTTCAATGCACCTTCAAAAATAATTCTTTTAGTTACTTAATGAAACTTGTTACCCACAAAATGAGATACTGTACAGTCAACGTGTTAAAGGATTTAAATAATTAACCCTTTGCGCTCGAGGCATTTTTCTATAGAATCAAATCGAGTCCATTTTTATAATAAATTTCTGTAAAACCAAAAACTCTGCTTCGAAAAGAAACATCTAAAAACATTCACGACTCAATGTATATTATTTCAATTAATAATAAGCTGCATTTTGATATAAGTAAAATTGAAATTGTTCATTCAAAAATCACTTTTAAATTACATATGTCGCCCTAGAGGCGCCACTCGAGCGGAAACGGTTAAATTACACAATTTAGTACCACTGAAAATTACTGAACATATATCCAAAGTAAAATATACGAGGAAACGTAATTTTATAAATAATAATTCACATAGTACATCAATTTTTTTTCAAGGTGGTAAGTATCCACATATTAATGGACGGTGGTTTGTATGACGGCTCTCGTCGAATCAGGCTGCATATCTAATGTCGCTAACCACCACCTCCCTTGGCATCTTGTACACAGGCGCAAAACATACAACTTAATTCCGTTCGCCTTCGTAACCGCTCCTCGCGAGACGCTTAAAATTCAGCTTCGACGTTGGTTGGCGTCGTTTACGTTGTTGTTGTTCGTGTCACGCCTCGAAATGCGTGGAAGGACTCAACAGTGATCCGCATAGCGAATCGATAACCCTGCCTTCTGTTTTAACTCTCGTCTCATACAAATCGTATTAGTATAATTAGATTTCTCTGCGCGAATGTAAAGATCGAGAGTCTTAAATTCAATTTAACCGTGTCGCCGCGAACTGCGCCCAACTCTGACGGAAGAACGCGCGAGGAAACGATCCCTCGTGATTTTTCGAACCACTCCAAACTCTATTAACCCTTTGCACTCGAGGGGCGACTCTCAGTCGCCGCTAGCTATTACTCGAGCGGCGACCGAGAGGCGAAAGTCTTCGTTAATATTGGATTTCGTTGAAACTCGA